AATATTTAAATCTAAATAAATTATAATTATTCTAATAGATTTATATCACAAATAAATTAGTTTAAATTTTAAATTTTATTATATAATTTAAGATTATATCTTATATTATATAATATACAAAAATTTTTTTTGTAAATTTTTAATTAAATTATTAATAATAAAGATAGAATCTTATTTTAGTTTTATTAAAAAAAAAAAGTAATTGTTAATAATATTTATTTTAAAACTATATTAGAATTAAAGTATAATTTAGGTCTGGTGATCTTAGTGTAGTGGTTAGATTGCCAGACTGCCATGCAAGAGATCTGGGGTTCAAATTCCATTATCGACAAATTTGAATAATTACCCAGAACTTTGTACCCAACTTACGGTAAACTCTGTCCGTTTCTGGAGTTGTAACCCTGTAAATCACATTATACTAATATCATCCGGATATTGGAAGTGTGACGAGGCATTTGGCAAGATGTAATATTACATGAATAAATCTTGATAGGATCTACAAGCAGAGGACCTGCATAGTAGAAATCCTGAGTTGATAAAGTAGTACAGCTTTCAACAGTCATACTAGCTAATGCTTGATCCAGAAAAGAAACTATCGATGAAAGATGCAGATTGAGTTAGATGCGTATAAATCCATTTCACAGAGAGAATCGATAACACTAACCTGGCTTGGCAACTAACTGGATTGGGAGGATCTGTCTTGTGAAATATCTGAGAAGATAAATACAGAAAACTGGTGAAGAGCTACAGTAAGAACTAGATTGTATGAATATCTATAAGGGTCTAAGCTAGATGAATCTGTAAAATGAGTACAGACTACTCTAGTAGGTATGCTTCAAGGTTAACTGGCTTTGCAGTATCTACAATACGTTAGGTACAATATATCCCGAGAGGACCTAAGCTGTTCTGGATAAATGGATCTGTAACGAGCTAGCTGGCTTAAGCAGTTAGATGTTGCAGTGATGTTAGGTTGGATCTGTATGGGTTAATGAACAGAATGTTTAAATAGGTAACTCACAGGCGGGTTACAGATATAGTAGCATAATGTAGAACCAATCAGATGGTCTAATCACCTGTGCGGCGGACTACTTAAATTAGACAATAACTAAAGTTGTACATGCGGCTTGTTGTATACTCTTCATATAATTACAAACAGTAGGGACTATCAATGTATATCCTGTATGCAATTCTAATAAAATTCCTTCAGCAATGTAAGCTGCTTTAATAACAAAAAAAAGAATTAAAATATAATTTATACTAAAATTTTAATTATATACAAGATATTTGAAATATAAATTTAATTTTTTTTTATAAAAAACAATTTTTTATAAAAAAAAAAAAAGAAAAATTATTTATTTTAGAATTAGAGCAAGACTTAGGATTTTATTTAAAAATTAATATATACAAAATTTTGTAAAAAATTTTTTTTATTAGAATTCCAAAAATGGTTTTTTATATGAAATTTTAAGATTTAGTATTTTTTTAATTTTTTAAAGAACTATTTGTTACACAAAAAAGATTTACATATTACACCTGATCTTAAATTTTAATTTGCTTTTCTAATACTTTTGTATTATCTAGTATACAAATATCTCGTATATAAATAGTAATTGTCAAAATTTTATAAGAAATTTTTACCGAAGGGATTTTTTCCTGTATGATATTAACCAATAAATTTACAGGATCAGGTGTAACGTGTCGTGTAACAAAATCAAAGAATTCGCCTATAAGACCAATTCCTTGCTAAATTTTGCATATACTAACTCTAAAGTACAAGAAAGGAGTTTTTTTTAAAATACGATTTATTTTGTTTATTTTAAAACCGGTGATTTCCCTTCCGGTTAATTGTAGTTATTCTCATTTGACTATATAGTATTATAATATTAATAAAATTTTAAGCATATATTGACAACTGTACTTAAAGAAAAATTCATACAATAAATCAAAAAGGTTTAGTGCAATCATTGCTGATCGGTTCGGTAAATCCAACTTCTATCTCTTGATTGATTTATGATTCTTTTTTAGCCAAGTCTATGGTTACGGATATATCCAACGTCCAACGTAATATATAATAGATAGATAATCAATTATCGGATATTGGGTCATTAAAACCAAATAGGTCAAACCTTAACAAGAATTTTTTCGAACATTTTCATCAGAAACTATTGTATTCTAATCTATAAGATGCATAAAGAACACGATCCAAACACGATACAAAACGAACAAGTTTCTAAAATTATGTAACATGACATAATACTAAAAAAAATATATATATATATATGAATGACGACAACTATGAGGTTTTGATTAATTTTTAATAGAACAAAATTATTTCATTATTATTAAAATGAAGATACTATTATAAAAGATATTACCGAATCTATTTGCAAGTGATTAAGTTAGAATGGGACAATAGTGATATAATCATAAACGCGCGTTTCACCAATATATTTTTTTTGGTAGCAATTAAAGCAGGGTACCGGTAAAACAAACAAAATTAGTACATTTATTAAGTATAAATAAAAAATTTTGAGAAGGCGTGAGAATTTATTGACAGAGGACCACATCATCGAACATTAGTAAGAAGTAAATATTGCTGCACCCCTTATTCAGGTTTTTTTCAGGTTTTTTTTCCTTTTGCGAATCGGGATCTTTTTGATAGCATGGAAACAATGACCAGGTTTTAATATTTGAACACAAAGCAAAAAGTAACAGTTGCATTTGAATTTTTTTTTTTTTTTTGACAAAGAATTCATTCAGAATAACAACAAGAGCTTTCACATATGTAAATAGAAAACATCTTATCAAGCATGACGCATGCATTCAAAAAAGTTGGCAATGGTGACAAAACACTGTTGGTTTGTTAATCACTAAAACGATGATGTGCATCACAACTTTTGGGCGGAATCAAAGATTAAATTTTCGTGGGGGTTTTTTCCATCACGGGATTGCCGAAAACATCATGTAAACGAATTGACCTCTGAAAGGAATTTTTATTATTATTTTTTTCCCCTTATTAACCCTTACGGCAGCATCTCATTCCCTTAGGATCATCAATATCATATTTTACAATAAGGTGAAAGACTCAAATTTTTTTTTTTTTTTTAGAGATGAAAAATTAATTTAATCAATTGAAAAAAAAGGAAAGATGTAAGGAAAAGGAAAAAGATTGATAAAATATGCGGGATGTAGATAAAAAGAGGATGGTACGAGTGTGGGTCAAACGTTACTCGGTTTTGATGACCGGTTAAAGTTAAAACATTAATAATCGTTTTTATTGATAAATGTTCGATAAACGAATTGTTAATAGATTGGTTTTAAGATAAGATAAATTTAGAATTTGGACGTGGTTGATGTGTATTTAAAGAATTAAGGAGATCTTAAGAAAAGTTTCTAAGGAGATGATTTTTGTCTTTGAGCTTTATCAGATAGGTTCTCGCAAGGTTATCACTTGTTTTACTCCTCTTTGATCATTATATGAACTGGTATCCAAAACTTATGTAATTTCATTTATATATTTTATTAATTTATTTATTTATGTTTTTTATCGAGACATTATGATCTTGAGTAATGCACTGTGTAAATCGTGTAAAATCTTTTGTAATTATTAAAATAATTTCTTCGATGTTACAACACAATGCCAAAGGTTTGTGCGTAGATACCTGGTTTAGGTGTTCGATGATGTAATATGTACGTGGGACGTAAGCACAGATAAAAATGATTAATTTCATACGAAAGTAGACCTTACTGGATCGATCCCTTCTAGCTTTCAAAAAAAAAAAACCCTAATTAATATTAACTGAAAGTTTTTTATTTTCTAGCCTTAATATCTGTCCCTTTTAGTTTTTTTTATATTTTATATTTTATATTTTATTTTAAATTTTTTTTTTGTATTATTAAATTAAAATTATTAAAATTTACCGATTATAAATTTACCAATTATTTATTTTATTCATTTTATTTTATTTTATTAAAAGGCTTCAACGCATGTGTCTTTTGCAGATGCATTTTTGTGTTATCAAAAAAAAAAAAAAAAAAAGTATATATAAATATATATATATAAAAAAAAATATATAATTAACTATATATTTCTAAATTAAAAATACTGGTATTTTATAAAATAAAATAAAAATTAAAATAAAAAAAAAAAAAATTGATTTCTTCAAGTATATATATATCGCTTCTCTTACTTTCCTCTCCATCACCTTTTCTTCAGGCTTGAGAATGTGAATCGGTTTAATGACCTCAACTTATTTACATATCCATTATCCTCTTACGTTGTATCCGCAAAAACTTTTTATAAATACAAACCGTATTTTCGTTCAGGGAATTTGGCATATTATCGATGTCTTTTTTCTTTGTAATCGATTTAACTTAAAAGTAACCGGCAGGATAACAGGAATAATACTGTCGGCGGAATTAGGCGGCTGCCTTTGATCAGATTGCAACCAAACGAATTGTCACGAATTTATCATCGATAACTCGCTACATTGTCCCTAACCCCCCACACAAATCAATATCCCTGTCTATTGTTTGATTCTCATAATTGCTTGTGAAATTTTTGTCTGATCATTTTCATCATAGTACATTCTTTTGTGTACATATTTTCTAATTCTTCCGTTATATATAAATTCACATTCTTTTTTTTGTTCTCATGTCTTTTCAATTTTTGACAAATAACTTGCAAGGTAAAAAGTTTTGTTATGTTTGTTATTATTGTTGATGTTTTTTTTTTTCCTCCTTTTTCGCATCAATTTTTTTCCTTGTTAAACTATTTGAATTATTTATTCTCATATCATTGCTATTATTTCGGGCGTAAATTCAATCTTTTAATTCCATACCTTTTTTTTCATTGTTGTTTTTATTTGATTGTTTCCTTTATTTGTTTGTTGAAATTCAAAATATTTTGTTCGATTAGTTAATAAAAAAATTTTTTTTTCTTATCTTTCACGATAGCGCGCCAACCTTCGTTATACAAGCCTGTATTTTTTTCGACTCAAATGAATATTTTTCCTGGGAACGAGGAATCACCGAGATTCTTATGCGATAACACAAATAACTTTCGGGATCACCCAGATTCTAAACATAATGGTTTAAATAATATTAATGTAGAAAATCCCGAAGAAAATCAAATAATGATGTGTTATATTGATAGTCCGTTAGAAGTATGCCTTATTTTATGATTACATTGTCTCAATAAATTACTTGCCACTGTTACTAGACTATCAGATCTTTACATTCTCAAATCTTTTATATTAACCCCTCATATCTCATCTTCATTCAATTTTTTTTAATAGATATATCCCCGAGATCAAATGAATCAGTCCCTATATAACCAAGTAAGTTTAAGTCTTAACCAAATCAGATTTATTATTATTGTAATTTATTTGTTCATTTGATTTATCTGTTATTTATTTATTGTAATTTATCTGTTATTTATTTATTGTAATTTTACTAATTTTTTTTTTTTTCGCGTTCACTTTCTCAAGTCCTCCACTTCTCAATTTAATCAGAATAATAATATGGTAAGATCTTGTCTCTCAAACTCTCTCTTTCCCCCCTTTTTTTTTTCTCTTTTTTTGCTTAGTTATACTTTACCAAAATTTACAGTTATATCAAAATTCCGAACAAAAAAATGAGTCACATGTTCAACATGTGACGCGAGATGAACACAATGACTGGCAGGTAATAAAGAAACATTTGTATTTTATCGTTATTATTTTGTGACATACAGTGATTTTTGACAAACAAAATTTACTTTTTTTTTTTATATTAGATTACTAATGATTTATATCAACAAAATATAATCTCTAATATGTACAATTCTGTACTGGAAAGTCCATATCCGACTCCACAAAATTTAGTTATGGAGACTACGTTATCTGTATCTACCCCAACTTATGGTCCTTTGATTTTTGGAGATCCTGTAAATAATTTTAATTACGGTTTTAATAATGTATGAATCAATTGATATTTTTTATTTTTTAAATTTTTTATTTTTTATTTTTTTATTCCTAAAGACAACTCGTTTGTTTTCAATTTGTGATAATAACAATAGCCTTATATTACTGATTCTATGTACGAAACTGAATATCAGCAACGTCTGCCGCATCCAGGACGTATACCTTCAAGTCCGCAAAAACCACCTGTATATACTAAATGGACTGAAGAAGAAGATGAATTATTACGTGCTGCTATAAGCATTTATGGTCCGCATAAATGGTCTCTTATTGCCGCGCATGTTCCAAACCGGACACCTATGCAATGTTCTACAAGATGGTTAGGTGCATTAAATCCTACAATTCATAAAGGGCGTTGGACGCCAGAGGAAGATGCCGCATTAAAAGATGCCGTTGGTGAATTTGTGGATCTAATTGATTCTGAAGGGCATCCTCAACCAATTCCTTGGAATAAAATAGCGTCTAGAATCCCACATCGAACCGGAATTCAATGTCAGGCTCGGTGGTCGGAAGCTCTTGACCCAAGTGTAAGAAAAGGAAAATGGTCCCCCGACGAGGATGAAATATTGAAAGAGGGTGTCAGACGTTATGGAAGATGTTGGATCCGTATTGCTGAATTAATTGAAGGCAGAACTCAAGTAAATAATATATTATTTTTCGAGTTGTTACCATTATCATTATTTACTTATCATCCTTTATTACTCGTTACCAATTAGCGCCAATGTAGAACCCGCTGGGTACAAATTAAAAATAAACAAGCTAAACTCGAGAAAGACGCGATGATCGCGAAATCTACTGCAAATAATTCATCGACGGATGATGATAACGATGACAATAGTCTAGTGATGCTGACTCCGCCTAATACAACACCTTCAACTCCCGCTCAGACAGTAATGCGTCCAACGCATAATATTTCTTTAAATAATATACCTGCCCAGACGTCCAGAAGGCAATTATCTGGAATTCCTTCTATTATTAATAATCAAAGTCCCATATTATCTCCGTCTCCCACAGATACTTTGACAGGTCCCGAATCTTGTGTTACAACGCCAGAAAGTACATCATCTCCGATGTTCGATAGAAATTTAATAAAAACACACAATGACAATATGATTGCATTTTCCCATGACCACTTTTCTTATCTTAATTAAATTATGAAAAATATGAATTGAAAGAAAAATTCTTTTCATCCTATGAAAAAACCCATAATATATTCCCTATTCCCTTCCCCAATTTTTTAAGTATTTTATTGTTTAATTTTTTATTTTAGATTTTTTTTTTTTTTTCTTTTCAACATTTTTGTATTATATTCTTAAAAAAAAAAAAAAAAAAAAGATTTTTCGAATATTCGTTATATAACACTTATACACATCGATTTTTCACAAGGTGCCAAGAACATTAAAAACTATTTTTGTATTTCGTTTTTTACTTTTTATTTTATTTTTTGAATGGTTTGGTTCTATTTTACTCGATTTAAATGAATTAACATGCAACAAAAACCACAAAAATATGCACATATAAATAGATTTAAAATTTTATATTTCAATATATATATATATATTATTTCTTTCACGATTTAATTATTATAAATGTTATACGATTATAACAATAATTAAAAGGTTTCCCAAAAATAATTGTTTTTAATTTTTTTTTCTTTTTTTTTTTTTTTTTCTTCTTTTTGAGTTTTTAGAAAAAAAAAAATTTATTTTTAAAAAAAATAAAGTGCCCTCTTTCGATTATTTAA